ACTCCCCATATGATATTTGGAAATATTTATATATAAATTTAGATGTAAATGAATATTATTAAGCTGTTAATGTGAACCAAAAACAGTAATAAGTAAAAGAAAAAGAAATTCAACCAAACTAAAAAAAATTTAAAAATAAATAAATAAATCACAATTTTCCTGGGAAAGCAAGGATCAGGAACCAGCTGGCTAAACTGGAAACTGGGATGAGTACCTCCTCTGGGAAAGCTCTGTTCATGATTATTGTAGGATAAATACTCTTCTACTCTTGTAAGTTTAAAGAGAACAAAATGCCTGTATAGTTCTAAAATGGACTATTTTAATAACAAAATTATGACTACACTGATTTGATATTAGAAACAATTCCTGGGGCTGGCGCCATGGCTCACTTGGTTGATCCTCCGCCTGCGGCGCTGGCATCCCATATGGGTGCCGAGTTCTAGTCCCAGTTGCTCCTCTTCCAGTCCAGCTCTCTGCTGTGGCTGGCCCAGGAGGGCAGTGGAGGATGGCCCAAGTGCTTGGGCCCCTGCACCCACATGAGAGACCAGGAGGAAGCACCTGGCTCCTGGCTTCAGATCAGCATAGCTCTGGCCGTGATGGCTATTTGGGGGGTGAACCAACGGAGGGAGGACCTTTCTCTCTGTCTCTCTCACTATCTAACTCTATCTGTTAAAAAAAAAAAGAAAAGAAAAGAAAAGAAAAGAAAAGAAAAGAAAAGAAAAGAAAAGAAAAGAAAAGAAAAGAAAAAGAAACAATTCCTTATTACACAGTGGTTAAAAAAAAGGAAATCTTGTCATTTGCAATAAAATAGATGCAACTGGAAAACATTATACTTAGTGAAATAAGCCAATCCCAAAGACAAATATCATATGTTCTCCCTTACCTGTGGTAATTAATAGCATACCTAAAAGTATGCTATTAGTAGAAGTGAAACTGATGCTTTGAGATGTGGTGACTTTAAACATCCTTGCCCTGACTGTTGAGGAACATTTTTTTTCCATACTATTCACTGAATTGTTCAGTGTAGGGTTAGTCTTATGTATATAAAGATAATTGAAAATAGGTCTTAGTAAAAAATAAGAAGGGAATTGGTAGAGGAAGAAGAAAGAAGGGTGGAGTGCAGGTAGGAGGGAGAGTAAAATGAGAAGAATCACTATGTTCCTAAATTAGTGTATATGAAATATATGAAATTTGTACCCCTTAAATGAAAGGTTTCCAGGTAAAATCTAAAGGAACAATTCCTTTGCATATATATATATATATATATATTGTATGTGAACAATTAATAATATACTTATATGTATTATGTATGAAATACATATAAATATTTCTTTTAGCAACACACAGACACTTTATACATCATTGACTGTGTCATGCCATGTAGTTACATGGAAAACCTCGCTTAGTAATTCTCTCACTAACTTGCTTTTCCTCATTTTCCTCTATTCAAAAAGACCTGTTAGATTCTTTGAGCTGGTGGAGAAAGCTGAAACATGGCTCATTAAAAGCTATTGATATTTGGAGTTTCCTCACACACTACTACCCAATTTTTATTTTTTTGGAGGGCTCCATTGCAAACTTGCCCAACCTCTGTTCAAGGTAAATATGTTTGCTTTCTTTTTTTGACTCTGTGTTTTTCATTTAGAGCACCTGACTCACAGGAAGAGATATGGGAAGTGGGATAAAGGGCCCTATCAGGCACAAAATCATGAGAGGACTTTACAAAGAACATGCAATGTTTGAGTTAGAAGATAATACACATTTACATGAACTTTTTGAAATCATATATTTCTATACTACCAGATGCATCCATTTTTTTTTATCATTAGAGAATAACAACTTCTGGGGCCAGGGCTGTGGCATACTGGGTAAAGTCGCCGCCTGTAGTGCCTGAACCAGTGCCAGCTGCTCCACTTCTGATCCAGCTCTCTACTATGGCCTGGGAAAGTAGTAGAAGATGGCCCAAGTCCTTGGGCCACTGCACCTGCGTGGTAGACCCAGAAGACGCTCCTGACTCCTGGCTTCAGATCAGCTCAGCTCCAATTGTTGCAACCACTTGGGGAGTGAACCAGCGGATGGAAGACCTCTCTCCCTCTCTCTGCCTCTGCCTCTCTGTAATTTTGCCTTTAAGACAAATAAGTATATCTTTTAAAAAACGGAGAATAACATATAATATCTGGGGAACTTTAATAATAAAGTAAGTTAAATTAAGGTCTTTAATATTCAACACACAAGAAAATAATTGGCTTTTAATTTAGTATGGACTCATAATGTGACGAGGATACAAGAGGGGCAAGTGCTGGATATATAGAGAAGTAAAGTAGAAACCATTTGTGCTCTCTCCCCAAAACCTTATGTTCTCTTTGGAGTCATAGACAGTAAAAATGGTGTAGATGATTAAAGGAAAAATCACACTGTTAACATTTATCCAGGAGAGGTCATAGGAAGTGTTCCAGAGTCACCAATAATAATACTTGACAGATATTTGAATGATGTACCAGAACAGGTTAATGATTAGGTGATAACAAGACAGAAAAAAAAAGAAAATGCAGACAGCATAGTGAAAACAAGTTTAGTTTACTCAAAGTAGAATAGAGAGGCTGATTTTGTTAAGAGGGCATTTAGTATCACAGAATATGAAGGCATTTAAAATCTATCGGGCCGGTGCTGCGGCTCACTAGGCTAATCCTCCGCCTTGCAGCGCTGGCACACCAGGTTCTAGTCCCGGTCGGGGCGCCGGATTCTGTCCCGGTTGCCCCTCTTCCAGGCCAGCTCTCTGCTGTGGCCAGGGAGTGCAGTGGAGGATGGCCCAGGTGCTTGGGCCCTGCACCCCATGGGAGACCAGGAAAAGCACCTGGCTCCTGGCTCCTGCCATCGGATCAGCGCGGTGCACCGGCCACGGCGGCCATTGGAGGGTGAACCAACGGCAAAAGGAAGACCTTTCTCTCTGTCTCTCTCTCTCACTGTCCACTCTGCCTGTCAGATAAATAAATAAATAAATAAATAAATAAATAAAATATTATAAAATGCATCAAAAATATATTTGTTAGGGAACCACAGAGAAATAGTTGAGATAGAGATATATTCAGATATCCTATAAGAATAAGAAAAAAAAAAAAAAAACAAGAAACAACTAAACTAATAAATAAGCCTTTAAGATCACTGGACTAGATTGCAGAGGTATGACTGCAGAAAGGGTGAGAATCAAGGAGGTGGTTATATGAGTTCAGGCTGCACAATAGAGAGCTAGACAACAAAGTTCACAGACATAATTATTCATGCCCTTATACTAATAATGTTATTCCATATTACATTGTGTGGAAAAATGGTAAATACAAAAAAAAAAAACACTTAAAATGTCTCCCAAAGCAAAAGGAAATCCAATCAGTCTGTCAAAGAGCAAACTTCATTGGCATGTTGACTGCAGCACTATTTGTAATAGCCAAGAAATAGAATTAGTCATATTTGTCCATGCACTGAAGAATGGATAAATAAATGCCTCATATATAAATAATAGAATACTACTCATGTACAGAAAAAATGAAACCTTGGGACTTACCACTACATGGATTGATCTGGAAGTCATTATGATAAGTAGAAAAAGCCAGGCCCAGAAAGATGGGTACTGCATGTGCAAAACCTAACATACCCATATTCATAATCTAACAAAGTTTTTCACATAGGATTTGAGAATATAATGGTGGTTGTCAGAGGCTGGAGAAAGTGGGAGAGATGGGAAAGGCTTGATAAACAGGAACAAAGTCAAAGATAGCTAGATGTGAAAAGTTCTGGTGTTCTACTGATTAGTAGGGCAAGCACAGACAACAATAATGTACTACACATTTTTCTAAAAGAAAAGCAAAAAGAAGAAAGGATTTTAATGTTGTCACCATAAGGAAATAATGAATATTTCACGATATAGATATCTTTACCATGATTATAACATTGTTTGATGGATTAATGTACAAAATATTACAATATATCCTATAAATATGTATAATATTTATATGTCTGTTATAAACAAGAAAAAATTCATACACTTAGGTCAGTAATCAGAATTAATATTAAATATTGTCATTATTGCTGCTTTGTTGTTATTACTAGTACATTTAATTACCTAAAATATATGACTCTTTGGACATAACATAATTAAAAAGGCAATTATTTTCCAACATAGTAAAATTAAATTCTCAAGCAAAATCATAGAACAGAAATAATGTAGACTCATTTAAATGTAAATGTGTAGTTTTGGCAATCAGATGAACAACACGAAGGCTTAAAGTTTGATTGTAGGCACTGAGGCTCTTCACTGGTACTCTAGCATCACAGGAAAACTCTTCCTCAAAACAGCATAAATGTGTGGTCCCAAAAATAATGATGCTCGAATCCAGTGCTTACATGCTTTGACCACTGCCTTATGTCAATCCTTGTTGAGATCCAAGAAACTTACTTGGAATTTAATAGGAATGGCTTACATTATAAGACGGATGTTTTCTGTTTTATATGTTAGATTCCTCAATACAAAGGCTGAGGCAATTTTAGTGAAAGCTTATACAACTTGTCTCTACCCTCACAGATTTTGTGCTTTGCATAAAGGGAAAGTGACAAGTGTTTGTAGAAGAGGGAGAAAGGTGAGGACAAGGCAAAACAGAAGGACAGGAAGCCTTGTCATGATAATTGGCAATAATACCTGTTATTTGGTTCCACAAACAAGATTTGAATACAAGTAAAGATTGTGAACCTTGTCCTCTTTTATCTTTTTTTTTTTTTTTTTTTTTTGACAGGCAGAGTGGACAGTGAGAGAGAGACAGAGAGAAAGGTCTTCCTTTGCCAACGGCTGCCGCGGCTGGCGCGCTGCAGCCGGAACACCGCGCTGATCTGATGGCAGGAGCCAGGTACTTATCCTGGTCTCCCATGCGGGTGCAGGGCCCAAGCACTTGGGCCATCCTTCCCTGCACCTCCCTGGCCACAGCAGAGAGCTGGCCTGGAAGAGGGGTCAACCAGGACAGAATCCAGCGCCCTGACCGGGACTAGAACCCAGTGTGCTGGCGCCACAAGGCAGAGGATTAGCCTAGTGAGCCGCGGCGCCGGCCTGTCCTCTTTTATCTTAAACAAATCTTCCTTATCCCAAGGAACTTGCTTTTCCATGCTTATCAAATGCCCAGATAATCTCTGAGCCTGTGATTATAGAGTGGACTAATTCTATAAATAGTAGTTTTGTCAAGGAATTTTCAACTAGAATGGCATATTGTTAATGGATAAGTAATACATACATATATATGTATATATATTTAATGCAAAAAAGTTTTATTTTCATATTCTTTGATGTTCTTAAGTACATTCCAAAATGTTAACTGTTCCTAAATTTCAATAATAACTACAAATTTAGAGAGTGGGGCCTTGCAGAGGGTGCATCTTCTTACCTCTTCTATCTTTCTGGGTCACTCCAGTGTTCTCTACTGCTGAATCTCATCATTTATCCAGATGACAAGAAATGTTTAGGCCGGCGCCGTGGCTCAATAGGCTAATCCTGTACCTGCAGAGCCTGCACACCGGGTTCTATTCCTCGTCGGGACACCAGATTCTGTCCCGGTTGCTCCTCTTCCTCTCCAGCTCTCTGCTGTGGCCCAGGAGTGCAGTGGAGGATGGCCCAAGTGCTTGGACCCTGCACCCGCATGGGAGACCAGGAGAAGCACCTGGCTCCTGTCTTCAAATCAGCGTGGTGCGCTGGCTGCAGTGGCCACTGGGGGGTGAACCAACAGAGAAGGAAGACCTTTCTCTCTGTCTCTCTCTCTCACTGTCCACTCTGCCTGTCAAAAAAATTTTTTTGTAAAAAAAGGTATGTTTAATGGATATAGATTTAATATCACAAAGCTATTGAGAAACATATGGAGATAGATTGAAAAATGCCTGCAAAAATCAGAGTTGGTACAAGACACAGCCAGGAGCTCAGAACTCAAAACAGAAAACAGTCTTCCACTTGAGAAGCAGTGACCCAAGTTATTAAGTTGTTATCTGCTCCCTCCCATGATATACAAAGCAGGAAGTTGGATAAGAAGTAGAGTAGTTAGGGCTCAAACCTGGCATTCCAATATGCTACATGAGTGTCCAAGCAGTGACTTAATAGCTGAAGCACACACACACACCACTGTCTTAATTTTTTAAGTACTTCACTGCACATTGTAGAGTGATAAGATCTTAGTCCTTGTGTCAAGGCCTGTGTCTCATTTAGATTCCTACAAAAAGAAATAGTTTCAACATGGAACTATTCATGTTAATAACTGGTGGATATCCTGTCTTAGTTTCACACATAGATATGTACATTATATATTCTTTATTGAATGGGGACATGTATGTGTTCAGAACAGAGCTGGGAAAGGGTTTAGTCATTTGCTTCATCTACTGCACTGAATGGAATTCTAAATTCTGTGCTTGATTTCTTTTAAACAATTATCAGCCAAATTTATTTTATAATATTCAGATTTGTCTAATTTAAATATTTTAGAATTCATTGCATTTGTCTCTGAGCTTGCCTGAGATTAATTTTATAAAATGCTTTATATGCATTAGAAAGAATGCATATACTCTCACATTTGAGAGTCCTTCAAAAGTTTCATGAAAAAATGAAATTAAAAATAAAGAGTATATATTTTTTTCAATGTCTACTCCATCAAGTTCATCAGGTATCATAAGTGAGGTCCAATCATATATTCCATCCAAATAAACTGATGTTCCTGGCCATGTTTCCTCTCCTGTTACAACAATTCTACTATGTTTCAGGATATTTATCCTACTTAAAATTTACTGAAAAACTTCTCTCTGTGCAGCTGACCTGGTTTCAATAGTGTTTGCGCCTTTTGAGCAAAAACCTTACTCAACTTTAATTTTTCAGTCACAATGTTGTAATCGGAATCAACAAAGACATCTGTGGCACTGTCTATTGATTCTTCTGTGAAACACTGATCTTTCTCCATCAAAACATGAAGATGATTGATTTTTTTTTTGCTCAGAAACACTGGAGTGGAATTTCTGTACCTCTTGCCTTCATTTTCAACAGTCTTGTTCCTCCTAAACTTGATTATTTACTTATAAGTTTCTAGTTTATCTGAGTCATTTTCCCTGTAAGCTTTTGACAAAACGTAAATACTTTCACCTTTATTCTACCCAAGCTTCACTAGGAAGCGAATTTTTGTATTTGTTTCAATTTGTGTTGTTCAGATGCAGGCTATGTTTCAACCTTAATTTCTTAGTGCATTAAATCAGATCCTATACAGACAAGATGTACCAAGTTAGTATGAGGTTGTTTTGTTGCAAACAAATGAAATCAATGATTTTAAACATAAATGCATTTTTGAAGACTGCATGCATGAATAAACTAAAAAAATCAATTGAATTTAGGTAGTGTCTTAGTTAAAGAATGAATCAGTGAACTCTAACACAATTTACTGGAAGTAATGCAGTCTAAGGATCAAGAAGAATGAAAAAAATAAGAGAATGAATACAGTTTAAGAGACTTAAGGGATTGTGCCAGTCTTATGGAATAGTGGGTTAAGCTGTTAAGCTACTGTTGGCAACATTGGCATCCCTTATTGAAGTTCTGGTTTAAGTCCAAGCTACTCCATGTTAATGCACCAAAGAAAGTAGCAGAATATGGCCCAAGTACTTGGGCCCCTGCCACCCATGAGGGAGACCAGGATGGAATTCTTTGCTCCTAGATTTGACATAGCACAGCTAATACTGCTGCAGCCATTGAGGAGTGAATCAGCTAAGAGAATCTCTCTCTGTCTCTTCCTGTCCTTCTGATGTTCTGTCTGTCACATACATACATAAATCTTAAAAAGAGAGAGAGCTGGATCAGCGCCATGGTACAGTGGGTTAATCCTCTGCCTGCAGCGCCAGCATCCCATATGGGCACCTGTTCTAGTCCCGGCTGCTCCTCTTCCAATCCAGCTCTCTGCTACAGCCTGGGAAAGCAGTAGAAGATGGATCAAGTGCTTGGGCCCCTGCATCCTCATGGGAGACCAGGAAGAAGTACCTGGATCCTGGCTTCGGATCGGTGCAGCTCTGGCCGTTGCGGCCATTTGAGTAGTGGACCAACGGAAGGAAGACTTTTTCTCTGTCTCTCCCTCTGACTGTCTGTAACTCTACCTCTCAAATAAATAAATAAAATCTTTAAAAAGAGAGAGAGAGAGTTAAAGGACAATGTCAACATGATTACTTATTTATTTTTGACATGCCAGTAAGAGAAAATATATCTTTCAAAATGGCACAGAATTTTTCAACTGGAGGAAAAAAAAAATTCTCTCTGAGAAGCACAAAAACTCAAGATAAATCCAGGAAGACCTACACCCATATGCATAATAATTAAGTAGTTCAAAATTAAAGATACAGTGTTGAAGGCAGTAAGGGAAAAAATTGTCATATATGAAATAATCTGTAGTTGTATTTGCTTTTCTGTGCCTGGCTCATTTTACCTAATATTGTGTCCTTTAGGTTCATCCATGTTGTTAAATATAAAGTGATTTCCATCTTTTTATGACTGAATGATATTCTATTTGTATGCATATGATATTTTCTGTATCCATTCATCTCAGGTTTAACACTTAGTTTGAATGTATCTTGTATTCTCTGTATGGTGTTATAATAAATATCAATATCAGAATGCATATTTTATTGACTGATAGGTTTCATTTCTTTTAAATACATATATAATGCTCAGAAGTGCTGATTCTTGGGTAACTCCACTTTTAATTTTTGAAGGCTATTAAAAGGTTTTATGACAATAATTTGAGCAATTTAAGTAAAATTCGTGTTTATTTAAAAGCAAGAATTCAGAAAATTAAAAAACAGAAAAATATTTTAGTATTCTGTTATGTGAATTTCACAGTATTAATCTCAGTACATTTATAGATATACATATAATCATATAAAACAGAACCAAATGTATTAATGATAAAAACTTTGAATTGATGCAAACATTTTTTATAGAACAGTCCCTTGAACCACACTATCCAAGAAATGAAGATGAGTTACATAATTATTTTATCTCTAATGCTGTATCAGGGATAAATCTAATGCAAATCACCTTGCTTGCCACTGCTCTTGGCACTGCTCTAAAATCTGTTCATAACACTGATGCATTACACATGTAGGTCTTTGTCTACATGTTACAAAAATCAATCAATCATAAGAGACACCAGGAACACTCACATAACCACAATAATATATAACTTGGCTTTTCCACCTGCCATCCAGCTCCATAAGCCAATGCAAGTTATTCTTTAACTATTTGTTACATTTCCCCTTGGATATAACCATGAAGAGCTAAAGAAAGAGACAACAAGTGAAGAGGAAGCATTGCATTTCCCCAGGATGTCCAGGACATGTGTCTCACTTCTGCTGCTGCTGCTACAGCTGAGTTGCTGCTTCAGCTCTGGGAGTTGTGGGAAGGTGCTGGTGTGGCCTATGGAGTACAGTCACTGGATGAATATGAAGACAATCCTGGATGCACTTGTCCAGAAAGGTCATGCAGTAACTGTTCTGAGATCTTCTACTTCTGTTCTAATTGATCCCAAAAATGAATCAGGAATTAAATTTGAAACTTTTCACACATCTTATACTAAAGGTAAAATAGAAGCTTTTCTCTTAAATGGGATTAATACACTTATAAACGATATGTCAAGAGATGCATATTGGGAATATTTCCCACTACTGCAAAAATTATTCTTTGATTATTCTGATGTTTATGAAAGTATCTGCAAAGACTTGGTTTTGAACAAGAAAATCATGACAAAGCTTCAAGAATCAAGGTTTGATGTTGTTCTTGCAGACCCAGTTGCTCCCTGTGGTGAACTGCTGGCTGAGCTACTGAACAGACCCCTTGTGTACAGTATACGCTTCACTCCTGGCTACACCTATGAAAAGTATAGTGGGGGACTTCTATTTCCTCCTTCCTATGTGCCTGTTATTATGTCAGATTTAAGTGGACAGATGACATTCATGGAGAGGGTAAAAAACATGCTATGGATGCTTTATTTTGACTTTTGGTTCCAATTATTTAATGTGAAGAGGTGGGATCAGTTTTGCAGTGAAGTTCTAGGTAAGTCATATTTTTGGTTGCCAGGGTGATGTCTTAAGTTTAATGTAATTTTGTAGGTGATCTTTCATGAATGAAAAAAATCCAAGGAATTTTTCTTTCCTAGGTGAAGTAATTTAATGAAAAATAGAAAAAGATTTATCAGTTTTACAAATGTTATGGAGAGGCTTTCATTATAGATTTAGATGGAACTTATTGATTCACATTTGGATGGAAGATTCCAGGAAGTTGTACAGCTACCAATGAAGGACTGAGAATTTCTCTAAATAATATTGTGTCAGTTCTATCAGTTTTCTGTCATAAAAATCAGTGGACAAATTTTGTTGATGAATGAAAACATGTAAATTGCCTTGGGTAGGTCTGTTGCTACATTTAAAATTAAAATAAGTTTTCCATATTATCTAAGAGTGCCACTAACAACTGGGTGATACAAAGTTTCTTTCCAGACAGAAAACATGTAAATTGAGTTGTATAATGTTACTACATTCCTTCCTCAAGTCCTTAAGTTCATCTGTGTAAGGTCAAAAATTTTGTGAAAATGTAGACACATACAATTAATTAATTTTTTAAAATTATGTTTCTCCATATAAAAAAGATCCAAAACAAGGGTGAGACAAAAATGTTTTTCCAAAATTTAAAAACCTCTCCCTGTGATTTTGCAAATATTTATATAAATTTCATTATAAAGTGATATTATTAAGTCACCAAAGTGAACCAAAAACAGAAATAGGTCAAAATATGCTCAAACTAGCAACAGCAAGAAGAAAAAAATGATTTCTGAGTTCACCTGGAAAAATCAAGGATCAGAGAGCAGTTTGGTTAACTGGAAACAGGACTGAGTTCCCCATCTAGGCAAACCCTGTTCATGATAACTGTAGAATTTCTTGACTCTACAGCTAAAATAGTTGTTCTCATTTGAATTTGATACTCTTGTTATTGTAAAAAGAAAATAATGTATGTTTAATTCTATAGTGGCCTATTTTAATGACAAGAATTCTGACTGTATTCTTGATATTAGAGACATTTTTGCATGTATCAAATAGGTGAGTAATGCATAGTATATATATATATATGCATATATTTATATACTTAAATTATTGCTTTGTAAATCATTGACTGCAATGTTCCACATAGTTACATGGCTTACTTCAGGTAACAATTCTCTATTTACCCTGCCTTTTCCTGATTTTACCTCCATTCAGGAAGACCTGTTACATTCTCTGAGCTAGTAGGGAGAGCTGAAATATGGCTTATTCAAAGCTATTGGGATTTGGAGTCTCCTTGCCCACTCCTGCCAAATGTTTATTTTGTTGGAGGGCTCCACTGCAAACCTGCCCAACCTCTTCCCAAGGTAAATATGCTCCTGCTTGCTCTGCATTGTTCACTCAGAGCATCTGACATACAAGGAGTGCTACTGGAAGTAGAATTAAATGCTCTGCCAGCCAGAAACTCATATGAGGGGACTTCACAAACAGTTTGGAATATTTGAACTAGAATATGCACATTTCCGTGAACTTTTTGAAATCCCCTCATAAATTTCAATGCCATCACATGTAGAGACATCATTATCACTGCAGCATAACAGAATGTCTAGAAGACTTTTAGGCTAGAGTCTTCTTGATTAAGATATTTCTTAGTCAAAACATAAGAAGATATTGGATATTAATTCAGTGTATACTTGAAAAGTCATTAGGATGCAAAACAGCAAATGCTTGGACATATAGAGAAATAGTGTAGACAGTTTATTCTCTCTCCAGCATTTTACATTCTCTTTGGAAGCATAGTCCCAACATTTTGTGAAAGGAAAAACAACATTCTTAAAAATGATCCAGGAGAGGTCAGGGAAACTGTCCCACAGTGACTGATAATAACAGATATATGAAGGATGTACATGAACAGGCTAAGGATGAAGGGATATAAGACAGAGAATGACAAGTATGTAAAGTAGCAAACGCAAGAATGGTTTAGAAGGAGAGGTTGAACAAAGAGGCTGATTTTACTAAAGAGGTCAAGTGGTACCACCTAACGTGAAGGAGTGTAAAATACATCACAATGTTTCTGATAGGTAACCAGAGACAAAGATTTGTGTTACAGATAGGGTCAGATTTCCTTTAGTCACAATATTAATTAGTTAGTTAATTAATATTTAGGATGCAGACATCAAGATTAAGTCACTGGATTTGATTGAAGAGGTACAGCTGTGGAAAAGGTGAGAAGTAAGGAAGTGATTGCAAGAGTTCAGCTACAGGATGGAGAATTAGGCAACAATCACCAAAGATATGGTATTCATGATGTTATAATAACAGTACCGCCCCATGTTTGTTGCATAGAAAATCGGTCAGTACAGGAAGAACAGTTAGGGTGTCTCTGATAACCAAAGGAAATCCAATCAGTCTGTCAAAAAACAAACTGCATCACTAGGTTAATTGCAGTATCATCTCCAAAGCTAAAACTGGGAATGGGAATATTTTTCATCCACTGATGGATAGATACAGAAAATACAACACATTACACAATAGAATACTACACAACTATAAAAAATTATGAAAACTTGTGTTTTGCCACTACACATATGGAACTGGTGGTCATTATGCACAGTGAAATAAACATCACAGACAGACAAGTACTGCATGATTTCATTTATGTATATAATCAAACAAAGTTCCTGTCAGAGATTTTGGGAAGAGAATGGTAGTTGCTAGAGGCTAGAGAGAATAGTGGGGTGGGAGACATGCGAAATGTTGATAATCAGGAACTAAACTACAGGTATATAGGTGTGAAAAACGCTGTTGTTTCATTGTGTAGTAGGGTCAATACAGATAATGGTAATGCACTACATATTTTCCTAAAAAACCTGGAAAAAGTATTTTTAATATTTTCAACTTTAAAAAATACATGGTTTTACCCTCATTATAACATAATCTACTGTAAAGATCACATGGTGCCATATAATGTATATTATATTATATAATTACTATGTATAGTATATATAATTCTATAACATATAATGAATATATGTGTATAATATGTAATATATAATGTGTATAATATATTGTATAAGATATAATATTATATAATATGTATACTCTATTATATATAGTATATATAATATACATTTATATTAATTTATATAATATATAATATAGAATTATATTATATATTATGTATACTTTTATTATATATTGATTTATATTAATATATAATATATTATATATTTATCTAGATTATATGGCACCATGTGATAGGATATGATAGGATGGCATTCTTCATAAAGAAACATGAATAATTAATGTATTTTAAACTCATACTACCCTAAAGAGACATACGTAGAAACTAAGTTTTCGTTTTCACTGTATTAGATCATCTCTTAAGAGATACCATCAGTCTTCCTATTAATGCACCACAAAATTGATAGTAAATGGTTAAAATACAACGCCAATTTTGAATGCAAATTTTTAGAGCTTTATATGGTACAATTCACAGGTCTAAAGGCTGAGGCAATTTTAGTGAGGGTTTATACTATGTATCTCTTTTCTTAATGGTTTCCTGATTTGCATAAAGAGAAAGTGACAATGGCTGTAGGAAGAAAGTGGAGCAAAAGGCAAAGAAGAAGGACAGGTGGCTCTGCCATGATAGTTAGTAATAATACTCGTAGTTGTTCCATTGCACAAAGTCTGAATACAGCTCAAAGTTGTGAGGCTTGTATTCTTATATCTCAAGCCTAGTTTTCTAATTCCAAACAACTTGCTTCCCCTGTGATTATCAAATGTCTAGATAATGTCCATCCTAGTTAAAAAGAGAAATAAAAAATTTAATAAATTAGATCAAGGTAATTAAAATAACATTTGGATTTTAAGATCTTAGCATGAAACTGTAAAAAGAGAAGTAATTAAGATGTCCAAAGTCAATGAATATAATAGTTTTTGTAAAAACAATCATGAACAGTAATGTAAACTCAATATTAAGGAGTGATTAAATAATTTGGTTTGTAAAATCACCTCAATACAATTATTTTATCAAAAATCTTTGATGACAATAAACTGGCCATATAGGAAATTTAGCTGGAAACAGGAGCAAAGAAGATAAATGAACGGCCGGCACCGCGGCTCACTTGGCTAATCCTCCGCCTGCAACGCCAGCACCCCGGGGTTCTAGTCCTGGCTGGGGCACTGGATTCTGTCTTGGTTGCTCCTCTTCCAGTCCAGCTCTCTGCTGTGGCCCGGGAAGGCAGTGGAGGATGGCCCAAGTGCTTAGGCCCTGCCCCCGCATGGGAGACCAGGAGGAAGCATCTGGCTTCTGGCTTCAAATCAGTGCAGCGTGCTGGCCATAGCGGTCATTTGGGGGGTGAACCAATGGAAAAGGAAGACCTTTCTTTCTGTTTCTCTCTCTCTCACTAACTCAGCCTGAAAAAAAAAAAAAAAAGATAAATGAAATGAGATTTTATTATCTAAAAGGAGAAAAGGATTCTAAATTATGATTACCATTCCCTGCCTTTGTATCTTATAAAATAGGGCCTGAAGTTTCAATTTTCTAAGGAAAAGAAATCCAGGACAAAGTTAGCACAAAAATGTGACCGTAGATAACACGGATATCTTTATAATTAGAAATGTATAATCAGAAAAAAATTAGATAATATTGGAAAATTTTGTCACCCACGTCTTTTACCACAATGATCACTACAATAATCTCTGATAAGACTTTACTTTCTCTGCTTAGTTGATTACATCAATCCTTTCACTAGTGTTTGTTGTACTGCTGCCCTTTTGTGATGGAGCAAAGTTTTTCTTCACAGGAAATGCAAACCTTTGTGCAGAGCTCTGGAGAAGAAGGAGTTGTGGTATTTTCTCTGGGGTCCATGGTCAGTAACATGACAGAAGAAAGGAACAATCTGATTGCATCAGCCCTTGCCCAGCTTCCACAAAAGGTTGGAAAAAGTATCCTAGTGGTGGGCGGCTACTGAATGTGTCTGTTACATTCTGTAAACAGGCTCAGTAGAGAAACTTCCCGTGTGAAAACTAAACTGTTATGAAGCTGAGATTTTTTTTTTTGTCAGATATCAGTTTAAAACTAACTCTCTGTGAGACATGCAACAGTAGCACAGGAGATGTTTTGAACCAAAAGTGTGTTTGGCTTTAGTATTTGATCACAAAAATGAAGATATTGGAGGTGCAGTGTGAAACTTTGTTACCATCATGACATTGCCACCAAACTCTGCAGTATCATTTGGTTCTTTATTCTGTACATTGTCGATGCCCCCTCCTGCACTAAAGATGTTATCAGAAACGAATTAAAGTGCAATTGATAATTGAGCTGATACAATAGTATTAAAAATGTTCCGAAAAAATTCTGCTGTGTGACTTGTGGTTTCAGACTCCCAAATAATCCCCAACTATTTACTTTTCCTAATTTTATAATATGTCCTCTCAAGTTGATTTGCTGGAATCTTCCTGATATAGAAAAATCAGGGTTTGTGAACCCTAAGCTCAAGACTTCATCCAGTCAAGTATATTTAGAAAAATGAAGAAAACAGGCTGCCCTCTAGGCTGAATCCTAGTTGTGTCTAAAACAGGAAGATGTAAGGGAGAGAGTAGAGATGGACCCACTGCATCACAATGTGTGGCCTCACAGGACTGTGTTCCTAGCCCATTAGATACACACCTCCTCTAGGCTGAGGAAGGAGGAGGGAATTTCAGGAGTGAAGCAGGGGCAGACCTGGAATGAGGAGAGATTCAGATGGACTTCTCTAGCAATTGTAGTGCTCAGCAATTTTCTAATATATGTAAGATAATTTTGATCTATAAATTGTTATGAACTGCTTTTTAGTGTGGTATGTAATGGAAGGGTCTAAAAATCATCTGTGTCATTTTTTTTCTGAGAACTTGAAATTATTTTTAACATTCACAAAGCAAACTGAAATTAAATGTGGATTCTACGTCTATGAACACAGCTTGGAAAATCTAAAATCAGTACTTCATTTTGGTACTGGATATGGAAATGGTCGAACAGCAGAAATTAGTAATCTTTGCTGTTAGCACTTTGTAGTGCATCATGGAAGAGTTTACTGTCAGTTGAACAAAATTTAGCATTAACAATTTTGCATTTTTTTCAGACATCATAGTACTACTAACATCCTCTTATTTTCCACATTTAAAGAGTTTCCTATCATAGCAATAATGATATTACTCTTGATTCATTTCAAAAATGCCACTTTAGTGGTCAGTGATACGGCTCAGCAGAATAAGCCTGTGCTTTGGTTTCATTTATACCATATGATAGAGCTTGTAATAGAGTTCTTCCAGTTCCTTTGATCCAAATTCTCACTTTTAATCATCAGCAGGTACTAGCTCAGGTATGGTCGACTCACATGGAGTTGTAGGTTCAGCCTATCCTTGCCTTATCAGTTGCAAGCATTTGGAAAATGAACAAGCACACAGAATCAGTCTCTCTCTCTCTCTCTCTCCCTCTGTGTGTGTGTGTGTGTGTGTGTCTTTCTATATCTCCATCTCTTGCTCTGATTTTACAGGCACATTAAGATAATAAAATAAACTTTACATAAAGCCATTTAAACATTTTCCAGGAAATGGTGCTTAGGATGTTGTAATATAAAACAAGTTAAATGTTGTCCTAAACAGAATTAATTTATTTCTCACAAATAACTCATTACATGGATTTGCTTTTTGTGAATTAAAAGATGTTAGCTTATAATGAAATATGTTATGAACATTGGATATAAGTATGCTTTTCTTTTATGATCACAAATGAAATAGTTAACATTACACTTGGAAGATGAGTCAAATGTGGTAATTCATGTATTTCAAAGTGTACAATACAGGGAATGAGTTTCACTTCTTGCAGTAGAATTATGACATTTTAACAATTTCTAAAACACTGGTTTTTGTCAATCATTATGTCACGTGACTAAGGCAGTATATGTTATTTGTGAAGCATCATAATTATGTTCCATGTCTGTTTGATGACAAATAAACAGAAAATATTTGTAGGCTACTTACTTCTATCTTTTGGTAGTTCTCTCTACTTAATCTCTTCTGTCTCCCTTTACTAATCTTACACATGGAAGGCATTTAACTAGGTTACCTCTCAATGTCCTTAGACTCTAAGATGCTGTAGTTTGAAATTCAACTCATGAAATAGGTATTTTCATTACCTAATAGATTCTTTGGCAATTTGATGGCAAGTAACCGGATACCTTAGGACCTAATACCCGGCTGTATAAGTGGATACCTCAGAATGACCTTCTTGGTAAGACATGGGGGACAAATGCTGTAAACATGAGTAACAGCCAATCAAAAAGACAGTACTCCAACAGAAAGCTGGTGACCATTTTTAATGGAAAAACTCAGAAGTCAACCAAATGTATTCAAGCTCATTATTTTCTAGTCCTAGGGAAATACAATGAACCAAAGAAGTTGACATTTCATTATGCACAAATTCTTCATGTCCTTAGAATTTCTAACTTCTTGGTGGGAGGGCATTTGGTAAAGCACTCAAGATGTCACTTAGGACATTTGCATTTTTATTGCTGTTCCTGGGTACAAATTCAATTTAGACTTCTGGTTCCAACTTTCAGCCAATTTACACCATGGTAAATAGCAGGTGATGGCATAAATTCTTGGATCACAGTAATCCACATTGATACCTAGGATTGAGTTCCTGCTCCTGGCTTTGCCTTGCCCAGCCCCAGTTATTGCAGGAAGTTGTATAGTGAATCAATAGAGGGATGATCTCTCTCTCCCTTTCTCTCTTTTGTTTGTGTCTCTCTCTGTCACTCACTCATTCTCTCCATATGTCTTTCAAATAAATAAAAATATAATAATAATTGTTTCCTGGGTTGTCTCTCTGTTTCCTTTTTTATTCAATCTATCTGTTGATTCTCATAATATAATTTCCAAATGCCACTGAAAATAATATATATCTGTGCTTATTAATTACTCCACATTTTGTGGGAAAAACTCAGAATCTTTAATATGAAGTGATAATGCACTTGAAGTGTAGTCTCTCCTTCTATGATTCCAGCAATACAGCTATGCCACTCTTGCTGCATTGTAAATTTTACATATCAATCTCAGTGAGTGGACTATTGCTTTAAGACAAAATCTTCTAACATGTACTTGATGGGCTTTTTACTTTTCTTTAGGTATATGCAACCTTTTTTTATTGAGAATATGTTCTTTTTTCATACCCATTTGCTAATCCGCTAGTTAAGTCATACCAGCTTCCCATGTGGCATTTGCAGACCTTTCCACTGGAATTAGGAGTCTCTTCCTCTTCATCTCAAACTAATTTATACACTATCTCATGTCTACTCATAATCTGTGGTCTAGAGATCACCACCCCTTTTAGTGCCTCAAATTCTCTGTTTCTTATTTCACTACTAAGATTTATCATTAATAATTTTACTGAAAACCTCTCAATTTTAGGTCATCCAAAAACCAAAGCTTTTGTAGCTCATGGTGGAGCCAATGGCATCTATGAGGCGATCCACCATGGCATCCCTATGGTGGGTCTCCCTTTGTTTGGGGAGCAACATGATAACCTTGCCCACATGAGGGCCAAGGGAGCAGCTGTTAGACTGGACTGGAAAACAATGTCAAGTGCAGATTTGATCGATGCCTTGAAGACAGTCATTCATGAACCTTTGTGAGTATTGCTTTTTAAAATAAATTGTACTGATAGATAAGTTTTCACTTGAGGACTAAGTGATTGTGAAAAGGGAAAGTATTTTGAGTACAGTTTTGAATAACAATGGAAAACAATATTTTCTTAATTTGGAAGAATTAGAAAATAAACAAGTAATTTACTTGAAATGGATAAATTGCAATTATCTGGTTCACTATTCAAAATATTTGAATATTTCACTATTCAAATATTTGAATATCAAGAGATGGTTCTCAAATTATTCCATTATATGGCTAGTTTTGATTAAGCTATTAGTGTTTTATTGTTATATCAATAATGTTTGGAATGTATTTCCTCCTTTCAGTACATAATGACGTAAATGTAAATGCAACATTTTCATTGGGTAGTAGTCAAAATTTTTTCCACCCATATAGTCCCTTCATTGTAAAGTTCTAACAGCAAATTAAAAAGTCAAAAGCTAGATCAATGAACTTTTAAAGCCCATGATGATCCATAGCATAATTAAGTCAGGGTAAGAATATTGGGAAAATGGGACATTATAGCTTGACTAACAAGCTGATATTCTGTTTGTATGTGTGAGTGTGTGTGTGTGTAGAATTTGATGACTTCTCTTCTTATAGGCTAAAAAAATACTCTGTTAGGATACTGTTTTTCCTTTGTGTTAAGCAATAAGTTGAACTTCAGTAATAGATTGGGTGGTATTTATGAATCAGATATTAACAGAAGTTTTAATGAGTGCTGTCAATATCAACCAACCATTGATCTATCTATTCAAGAAATATTCATCAAAAGATCATATATTTTCAATTTAAAAATTGGTAATAAATGCAAATGTTTATATTTCATAAGAATTTTGATATTTGGCTGGGACGAATATCCACTTTGAATTATGAAGTGACAGTTCAAAAATATGCAGTAAGATGTAGGCGATTCCATAGAAGTCAAAATTAAAATTAAGAACTTACATTAATGCATTAATATATCTATGTGAGCAGAAACTGCCTAACTTCAACTCCAACCGGCTGTAATTGACAGAGAATGATTGCTATTCAGTCTGAGCATTTAAAGTGATACTTGAGACCTGTCACCTGTTTTTATAATTTCATTTAAGTTATACAAGTTTCATTTATTTCATATATACAAATTTAGGAACATAGTGATACTTGAACCTCTACCCTCCCTCCTACCCAAGCTCCAACATTTCTTCCTCCTCTTTCTCACATTTCCACTCTTAATTTTTACAAAGATCTACTTTCAGTGTACTTAATGATTATAAAATTAACCCTACACTAAGTAAAACAGTTCAACAAATAGTATGGAAAAACAAAAACAAAAACAAAAACAAAAAACACTGTTCCACAACGAAGACACAAGGGCTATAAACAACCAGCAAATCTCAAAATGTCCACTGCACTTCTAAACATTACATTTTAGGTACTCTATCAGTTATCTTGAATCAGGGAAAACATATAGTATCTGTCTTTTGGTGACTAACTTATTTCACTAAGTATAATGATTTCCAGTTGCGTTCATCTTGTTGCAAAAGACATAATTTCATTTTTTTACAACTAAGTAGTTCTCCATAGTGAATATATACAATAAATTCTTCATCCAGTCAACAGTTGATGGACATTTGGCTTGATTCCATATCTTAGCTATTGTAAATTTTGCTACAGTGAACATAGGTGTCGCTCCCCCTCTTCGCGGAGGAACGACACAAGACCCTGCGTTGTTCTTTAGTCTGCTTGGCCCTTCCCGGGTTTGCTGCTGGTCCTTCCTGGGTTGGCTGCCGATCCTTCCACCTCCGTGGAAGGGCAGTTCCCCCTGCCACTTTCCCCACTTCCGCGGGGGAGCGGCACACCGCCGGCCGGCTCTCTCGGGGGCTGCTCAGATGTTATCTGGATGTTCCCTTTAGATGTTCCTGGTGCATGTTGTCTCTCTCCTCCTTTATAGTCCTCTTCCACCAATCCCAACTCTGCTACCCACACGCCGAGTACGCTGCTCTCCTCCAATCAGGAGCGGGATCAGCTCCTGCAGGTTACTGGTTGAACTGGAGGCAGCTGTGTAGAAGCTGTTTCCTCCTCTCCCAGCGCCATATTGTGGGAGAGCAGATGCATAGAATAAGTCTTAATTCAAGTAACTTAGTCTAGTCTGAGTTGCTCCCCACACATAGGGGCAAAGATAAGTCTTTCATATGCTGATTTCTTTTGGTTTGGGTAAATTCCCAAGAATGGGATGGCTGGATCATATGATAGGTCTATATTCAGATCTCTGAGGTATCCCCACACTTAATCTGACACAGTGGGTGCACCAGTTTACATTCCCACCAACAGTGGATCAGGGTACATTTTCTTCACATCCTTACTAGCATTTGTTGTTTCTTTATTTTTGTATGAGACCCATTCTAACTGGAGTGAGGTGAAACCTCATTGTGGTTTGATTTGCATTTTTCTGATGGCTAGTGATCCTGAGCATTTTTTTAATTTGTCTGTTGGCATTTTGAATTTCCTCTTTTGAAAAAATGCTTGTTCCTTTTGTACAGCAAAAGAAACAGGAAAGTGAAGAGGCAACCAACAGAATGGGAGAAATTATTTGCAAACTGCACAACTGATAAAGGATTAATAACCAGAATCAATCAGAGATCAAGAAACTCCACAGTAACAAAACAAACAACCCAGTTAAGAGATGGATCTTAACAGACATTTTTCTTTTTTTTAAGATTGTATTTATTTAATTATTTATTTTTATTTGACAAGTAGAGTTATAGACAGTGAGAGAGAGAGACAGAGAGAAAGGTCTTCTTTCCGTTGGTTCACCCCCCAAATGGCCGCCACATCCAGCACTGCACCGATCCGAAGCCAGGAGCCAGGTGCCTCCTCCTGGTCTGCCATGCAGGTGCGGGGGCCCAAGCACTTAGGCCATCCTCCACTGCCCTCCCGGGCCAGAGCAGAGAGCTGGAATGGAAGTGGAGCAACCGGGACTAGAAGCCGGTGCCCATATGCGATGTTGGCACCACAGGTGGAGGATTAACCAAATGAGCCATGGCGCTGGCCCCAACAGGCATTTTTCAAAAGAGGAAGTCCAAATGTCCAACAGACACGTAAAAAATGCTCAGAATCTTCAGCCATCAGGGAAATGCAAATCAAAACCACAATGAGGTTTCACCTCACCCCAGTTAGAGTGGCCCTCATACAGAAATCAACAAACAACAAATGCTGGAGAGGATGTGGGGAAAAGGGCACCCTAACCCACTGTTGGTGAGAATATAAACTGGTAAAGTCACTATGGAAAACAGTATGGAGATGCCTCAAAAATCTGAATATAGACCTACCATATGACCCACTATCCAGCTATCCCACTCCTGGTAATTTACCCAAGGAAACTGAAATCAGTAAACAAAAGTACTATCTGCACCACCATGTTTATTGCAGCTCAATCACAATAGCTAAGACATGGAAGCAACCTAAATGCCCATCAATCGAAGACTGGATAAAGAAATTGTGGGATATGTATACTGTGGAATACTACATGGCAGTAAAAAAGGATGAAATCCAATCCTTTGCAACAAAATGGAGCAAGCTGGAAAATATCATACTTAGTGAAATAACCCAGTCCCAATGAGACAAATACCATATGTTTTCCCTGATTTGGGAGAATTAATAGTGCACCTAAAATGAAAGCTATAAAAATGAAATTGTCACTTTTAGAATCAATGTCTTCAATAGTCCTTGACCTGACTGTCGAAGGACAGTTTATCATTGTTACTTTTTACTGTGTATATCCTTTTTGTTTCATTTTGTTTGTTTTTTTCTCTGTTTTCTTTCTTTCTCTCTCTTTTCTTTACTTCTTACTATATGCTGAACTCTCTGTGTAACCTAGAGTCAATCATATGTATTTTAAGGCAATTGGAAAAAGATCCCAGTTAAAAATAAGAGGGGGAATAAGAGATGGAGGAGGTAGTCTATAACTGTGAAACAGTCTAGTTCTGCATACAGTCCTACAGACTCACCTCTCAGGGTACAGCCTAAGAACTTGTTATGGGGCTCCAAACCCATAAAAAGCAGTGGTATAAATGCCATCTTCACTGTTAAAATAATCATATTAAACATTAAAGTAAACCTATAGATTGGTCTAAGTTTAAAAGTTATCATATAAATAACATCAAGCACCCCGTAAAAATAATAGAATTTAAAAGGAAGTAAAGTCCAATACGGGAAGCACTCCATACAGCAGACTCCTAGAATGACATTCACTATAAATAACACTCTTACCTCAGAATCAACCCTTAAGGCTTCCTGGTCTAGCTGAAAGGCCTGTGAGAGCATTTCAGGCATGGAAAGCCAAGACTCTGTGGCAAAAAAAAAAAAAAAAATTAAAAAAAAAATAAAATCCTACAAGGAGGAGCTCTGTGGGACCTCAGTGGAAAGAAAAAGTCATCAAAGAAGGATATACTTTTCTCTGAAGAGAGGAGAAGACATCCACTCTGCTTATGGCTGTGTCCAAATACCGATGGAGTCTATGATCACAAAAGGCCTCCATAGCCTTGGCAGACCATGGCAAGAGCCTTGGATGATCACTGATGTCATAAATAAGAGTGTTAATTGTTAAAGGAACAACAGAAATCACTGTGCACTTGCTCCCCATGTAGGACCTCTGTCTCCAATGAATTGTATTATGAGAATCGACTGCAAATTTTGTTCCCAAACTGTGCTCTATATGTTGTGTGTGTGCGTGGGTACAAATTATTTAAGTCTGTGCTTATCATGGAGTTAGTCCCTGTATATAAAGTCAAACTTAAAATGAACTATAATGGAGAAGGAGATGAGAGAGGGAGAGGGAGATGGGACGGGAGTTGGGGTAGGGTGGGGGGAAAGAACCCCTATATTCCTAAAGTTGGATCTATGAAAAAATGCATTAATTAAATAAAAACTTTAAAAAAATGCTTGTTAGGTCCTTTGCCCATTTCTTAACTGTATTATTTGTTTTATTGTTGTTGAGTTTCTTGAGCTCTTTATAAATTCAGGATGTTAACCCTTTATCAGTTTCAAAGTTTGTAAATATTTTCTCCCATTCTTTTAGTTGCCTCTTCACTTTGCTGAATGTTTCTTTTTCAGCACAGAAGCTGCTAAGCTTGATGTAATTCCATTTGACAATTCTGACTTTGATTGCCTCTGCTTCTGGAGACTTTCCCCAAAAGTTTTTGCCAATGTTTTGCAGAGTTTCCCTAAGGTTCTCTAGTAATCTGATGGTGTCAGTCATAGATTTAGGTTTTTAATTCCATTTTGAGTGGATTTTGTGTAAGTTGTAAGGTATGGATCTAGTTTCATACTTCTGAATGGGAAGATCCAGTTTCCCAAGTACCATTTGTTGAAGAGACTGTCCTTGCCCTAGGGACTGATTTTTAGATCCTTTATCAAAGATAAGTTGGTTGTAAATGTGTGGATTGATTTATAGTTTCTATTCTGTACCATTGGTCTACATGTTTCTTTTTGTGCCAGTATCAGGCTGTTTTGATTATACCTGTCCTATGGTGTGTCTTGAAATCAGGTATTGTGAGGCCTCTGGCTTTTTTTTTTTTTTTTTTTGCTATATAAAATTACTTTAGCTATTTGGGGTTTCTTATGTTTCCATATGAGAACCAGCTATGCCCTACACCTTCTTATGAAACCAGGGAGTCCCCAGAGTCTCAGCACACAGGCTCCCACAGTTGCTGTGTGAAGAGGTTTGGCTCTGCCCTGCCAGTCTGTTCAGTCAACAGAGAAGCAGTTGTTTCCCTTGCCAGCTCTGCCCAGGTGTCTAGATCCTGAGAGGCTGTGGGTACCTTACGGGTGCCCAGGCACCTCCAAGCCAGGCTCAAAGTCAGTAGGGCCTACATATTTTTCCCTCTGCTACAATCTCTGGATCACCTGTGTCTACAAGGACCACTGGCTGAATATTGCTCTCTCACCACCACTGCTGCCAATACTAGCAAGAAGGCATCCCGCCTCAGCCAGTTGCTGTAAGTTCACAGACAAAGGCTTCAGCAGCTGCCGTTCAAACCCAAAATGGTGCCTGCCTTTTCTCAGCCAGGCAGTGGACACTGTTGTGAGGAAGTTGGGGAAAGATAAATGTGCCCCCTCTATTTCCACTGGGACCATGGGCAACCATTAGCAACCGCCAGTCCCAGGGGCACCATTCTAGACTCAGGCCACACTCTCTCTCTATCTGCATTGCACAGTTAGCCGCTGTCCAGTCTCACTCTCTCCATGCCTCCACCAAGCCACCTCCCACTCTAGCTCTTGATGCAGCAATTGTGTATTGTGTTTGTGTTCATGCTGTGTGTCCACACCCTCCATACAGGTCCATGGCATTCCTCTTCCACTTGTAGGATCTCCAGTTAGTTTCTTCATCAATTCTCCCCTGAGAGCCTGAGAGTGGACTGTCTTGAGTGCCTTGAGAGTTCTCCAGATCCTAAAATCACAACCCTACCAAGAAGAAAAATAGTAATAATAGAAAACATTTACTCTTGATTTGGTATATAATAAAAATAATTCAAATGGTCTAAAAATCAACATATTTTTATTTGAAAAATCAAATAAGAAAGATAATGTCTCTTTACAATCCATTTAACAATGAAAATATTGTAAAATTAAAACTGAGAGGAAGGGAAAGTAAGAGTCAAAGCAAGGCAATTAAATTTGATGAATTCACAACTTAAATGTTAATGCACTGATTAATGGGTAACTCTAACATAAATTCCAGATTGATAACAACTCCTTATTAATTTGGCCCAGATAAACCTGAGCTTTGTAATGATTTGCCTCTTATCTCTAAATTATCATATTAATCCCAATCTAGTACATTCAGCCTATAAGCCACTGCCTACAGAGCCTGTCAAGCTTTGTACATAAAATGAATAGTTTTGTTGCTGTTATTGTCATTTTTTTCTTTTCTTTGTCTGTAAAAATTAACTGATTCCAATTTCTAGGTTTGGAAGCTAGAAATATTGTTCTCTGTCAGTTTCTCTCAACACATTTTGTAACCTTTTAATCCAACAAATTCCTATCAAAAAACTCAGATCTGTCTTAGGTTTACTGAAGAAAATAATTTATTTCTCGTAGTTTTCATGCAACATCCATTTTACCATCTACATAAAAATTTCACATTTATAAGTTTATGTCTATCGATTTTTCTTCAGCTATAAAGATAATGTCATGAAGTTATCAAGAATTCACCATGATCAGCCCATGAAGCCCCTGGATAGAGCAGTCTTCTGGATCGAGTACGTCATGCTCCACAAGGGAGCCAAACACCTTCGGGTTGCAGCCCATGACCTCACCTGGTACCATTACCACTCTCTGGACGTGATTGGGTTCCTGCTGGCTTGTGTGACAATCATTACCTACCTTGTTATAAAATTTTGCTTGCTTGTTTATCAACAGCTTGTTACAACAGGAAAGAAAAAAAAGCAAGATTAGAGCTCTTTCAGACCTAAGTCTAGCAGCCCTGATATGTGACATCATGCCATTAGCTCAACAATTAATAATGCAGGTGTGTAAAGACTGTCCTGCAGGCTGGTGCTGTGGCTCAATAGGCTAATCCTCTGCCTGCGGTGCCAGCACCCCAAGTTCTAGTCCTGGTCGGGGCGCCGGATTCTGTCCCGGTTGCTCCTCTTCCAGTCCAGCTCTCTGCTCTGGCCCAGGAGTGCAGTGGAGGATGGCCCAAGTGTTTGGGCCCTGCACCCACATGGGAGACCAGGAGAAGCACCTGGCTCCTGGCTTCAGATCAGCACTGTGCGCCAGCCACAGCGGCCCTTGGCGGGGTGAACCAATGGAAAAGGAAGACCTTTCTCTCTGTCCACTCTGCCATACAGTTCCTGATCCCTGGCATCATCCTGGTCCAGATCTGGCTATTGTGGCCATTTTGGGGGTGAACCAGTAGATGGAAGATATTTCTCCATCTTTCATTTTTGCTTTCAAATAAATCTTTTCAAAATATCCTTTTACAAAATTACCATAGAGCTGGCACTGTGGCATGGCAGGTTAAGCTGCTGCCTGCATCACAAGCATTTCATGTGGGTGCTAGTCGGAATCATGATGGCTCCACTTCCTATCCAGTTCCCTGCTAATGGCATGGGAAAGAGGTAGATGATTGGGCCCCTACCACACATGTGGGAGACCTGGAAAAAGTTCCTGGCTCCTGGCTTTGGCCTGGCCTGGCCCCAGCCATTGAGGCCATCTGGGAAATGAACCAATGGACAGAAGATGTCACTCTCCTCTCTTTCTGTAACTCTGCCTTTCAAATAAATAAATAAAATCCGCTTGCATATGTAATAGATACCAAATTTTAAATGCAATGTAAATATAGGTCACATCTTTTTCTTTCATTCAAGGTAGATATTTGATTTTTCTCATACTTAGTTTATAGTAACAGATCACCAATAAAAATGATGAATATACAACAACAACAAAAAGACTGTCCTGCGCAGTTTAGGAGATCTGTGCATTCCAGATTTATCCAAATATTTATTCTTAAAAAAGCATTAAGGAAATGCACCATTCTAACTTTAGATATACTGAAACAATTCAATATTAATGATGAGTTCTTAACTGATTTTACTAACTTGAAGAAAGGAGACTCACTGGAGCATCAGATTATTCTTTCAGAAGAGTTCCCAAGTTTTGTGTTCATTTTCAGAATCATCTACTTGAACACTATTCCACCAAGTAGAAAACATGTGTACTTGCCAAAGGAAATATAGCCAGATCCTTGATGTAGGAGACAAGACAGATTCTATCCTGACATCTTTTAATTGGAAGAATGACTCCATGATAAGCTGTACTCAAGTTCAACTAGGACATGTGTGACAGATTTAAAAAAGAGAGAGAGAGAGAGAGAGAGAGAGAGAGAAAATAAAGTAGGAAGGAAGGTGAACCAAAAGAAGCTACTCAAATTTATGGCAATAGAAAATTACAGAAAATGAAGTGGAAAATTACTAGAAGTACTTTTGGTAAGGTGCACTAGACAATGTACAGTTTACAATTTAGCAGGATTGAGTTTTCTTGAACAAAGAGTCAGCACATACTCTATAGACTTAACTTTAAAGGTCTAACTCATGGGGCAGGACATTGGTGTAGTGAGTTAATTCTCTGCCTGCAGCACCAACATTTCATTTGGGTGCCAGTTCTAGTCCCAGCCGCTCCTCTTCCAATCCAGGCTCCTGGCTTCAGATAGGCTCAGCTCCAGCTGTTGCGGCCTATAACCCTGTCTTTCAAATAAATAAAATGAATCTTTTTTAAAAAAAGAAAGAAATTGAACTATGTGTGAACTTAATTTTTCTCTTACACTATAATTTGAAATGTGCATCAAGTAATAAGATTTTTTTTTTACCTTAACATGGTCTATGGAGATGTAGTGACAAGAAAACCAGTATATTATTTTCCAATTCTTGTGTAAGTGAATCCCATAAAATGCCCTATTAGATATGACTCTGGACAACAATTATTGAAATGATGTTCAGGATCACTAGCAATGAGGGAAATGCAAATCAAAACCACAATGAGGTTTCATCTCACCCCGGGTGGAATGGCTCACATACAGAAATCTACCAACAACAGAAGCTGGCGAGGATGTGGGGGAAAAGGGACACTAACCCACTATTGGTGGGAATGCAAGTTGGTAAAGCCACTATGGAAGTCATTCTGGAGATTCCTCAGAAACCTGAATATAACCCTACCATTCAACCCAGCCATCCCACTCCTTGGAATTTACCCAAAGGAAATTAAAGTGGCAAACAAAAAAAGCTGTCTGCACATTAATGTTTATTGCAGCTCAATTCACAATAGCTAAAACCTGGAATCAACCCAAATGCCCATCAACAGTAGACTGGATAAAGAAATTATGGGATATGTACTCTATAGAATACTGTACAGCAGTAAAAAACAATGAAATCCGGTCATTTACAACAAAATGGAGGAATCTGGAACACATCATGCTGAGTGAAATAAGCCAGTCCCAAAAGGACAAACATCATATGCTTTCCCTGATGGCTGACAACTAACTAAGCACCAAAAAGGAAACCTGTTGAAGTGAAATGGACACCATGAGAAACAGTGACTTGATCAGCCATTGTCCTGACTATTGATGTACAATTTAATACTTTATCCGTTTTAGTATTTTTTATGTTCTACTTAATACTATTGGTTGAACTCCTTAATTGACACACAATTATTCTTAGGTTGTTAAGTTTAACTGAAAAATGATCCCTGTTAAATATAAGAGTGGGAATAAGAGAGGGAGGAGATGTACAATTTGGGACATGCTCAATTGGACTTGCCCCAAATGGTAGAGTTAGAAATGTGCCAGGGAATTCCAATCAATCCCATCAAGGTAGCATGCGCCAATGCCATCTCACTAGTCCAAGTGATAGTTTCAGTTCACAATTGATCATAATGATAGGATTAAGAGTCAAAGTGATCACACAAACAAGACTAGTGTCTGCTCACACTAACTGATAGATTTAAAAAGGAGAGAATGATCCAACATGGGAAGCGGAATACACAGCAGACTCATAGAATGGCAGATGTCCTAATGCATCTATTAATCAATCTACCATGGTACCCCTATGATGGACATTCCTTTTTATATCAACCTGATAACATCATTCACTGAAGGCCCTGAGAGCAGCAGTAAATTTGAGAACACAATCACAAGTGCAGATTCACACAAAGCCTTGTGTATAGTCATGGAAGTCTTTTCATGAGAGTTAAAATCTTATCTTGGTAATATTATTTCATATTTATGATAAAATTGTCAGCAATAAATCTGAAAATAATCCAAATGATAATCAAATTTAATAAATTTTTCAGATGGTAATCTTTTAAAAAAATTAATTTAGTGGAAATATATGTAAAAGTTTTAAGGATAGTGCACAGGGGCCAGTGCTGTAGCGAAATGGGTAAAGCTGCTGCCTGTAGCACTGGCATCCCATATGGGTGCCAGTTCGTGTCCTGGTTACTCCACTTCTCATCCAATTCTCTACTATGTCCTGGGAAAGTAGTGGAGGATGGCCAAAATCCATGGAAAATGCTGAAGTCGTTCCTGGCTCCTGGCTCCTTGCTTCTGCCTGGCCCCGCCCCAGTCATTGTGGCCATTTGGGGAGTGAACCAGCAGATGGAAGACCTCTCTCTCTGTCTATACCTCACTCTGTAACACTACCTTTCAAATAAATGAAATAAAAATTAATTTTTAAAGAATGAGTAATGTAAGCAATAGTGAGAGTAATGAGATATGGGGGACTGGAATGTGGTAACCTGATTTAGCAGGGTTTTCCTGCTAAAACAATTTCACATAGAAGTTCCCAAATGGGCCTTGACATAGTATCAGAAACTTGACTAAAACTTGACCAAATAGGAATACCTGATAGTTTTCTTAGGCGTATCTGTGTAGTCTCCCCACTACTAATCTGCTTTTCTTGGAATCTTTAGTTAGAATACAGAACTCAATATGAGTGAAAAAAAAAAAAGATAAATTAAAAGAGTGTGCAGAGACACAGAGAAGCAAAGAAAGGGAGACACATACACACAGAGAGACAGAGCCAAGGCAGATGGAAACACATTGAGAGAGAAATACAGAACATATTCCTTTTCTTACAAAACCTCTCAAGTTAAGTTGCATCATTTCTACTACATTGTCATGGTTTCTAAAGCAATAAAGTTTGCCTAAGTTCAAGGTAAGGAGATATGAGTTAATGAGAGAATTTTGAAATCACAAGTATTTATTGGGGCAGGCGCTGTTGTCAAGTGGATAAAGTTGCTGCCTGTAAAGCCGGCATCCCATATGGGTTCTGGTTCGAGAACCCGGCTGCTCCACTTCTGATCCAGCTCTTTGCTATGGCCTGGGAAAGCAGTAGAAGATGGTCCAGGTTCTTTGGCCCCGGAACCTGAGTAGGAGACCTGGAAGAAGCTCTTGGCTCCTGGCTCCTACTTCGGATAGGCACAGCTCCAGCCATTGTGGCCATCTGGTGTGTGAACCAGCTGATTGAAGACCTCTCTCTCTCTCTCTTTCTCTCTCTCTCTCTCTGCCTCTCTGTAACTCTGCCTTTTAAATAAATAAATAAAACTTCAAAAAAATTACAAGTAATTATTGTGTCCAAATCACCACAAATGAAACCTCTTGAGCTGGCCAGCAGACGTCACTAAGCGGCTGTAAAAATCATTAAATATTGATAATCACAGTAACTATGAATTTCCAGGTTTATATTGGTTGAAAATTTCAACTAATATTGCAATATATTTATTCATAGACATTTTGAATATGATGTAGACACCATAAAGATACCCTGAGATATCACATAGATAATGTTGACAGATTTCTAAATGATTTTAGTATTTTCAATGATACAAAATGTTGATAACACAATATCAAAATCTTGGAATTTACTTCTTTGAATGAATATATTTATTTAAGTAATTTTAGGCCACATGATACCTGAAAACATTCTTGAGTACTTTAGCAATGCAGTACATTTACATTGAGGGGAAATCCACATTCCCATGAAAGGAAACTCTAGTATTCTTTCAGATCAATTTCTCTGTGTTTATAGAAATGTAAGTATTTTTACTTATGAAGTCTTTTCTTCTTGAACTTTTTAAAATTTAGCAATGTGACATGGGCATCACTGAAACTTACTCCATGTAATCACCCTTTTCTCTAAAATGGCTAAGAACTGTCTAACAGTTTGATGGAGACAGAAGTGTACCTTGTCTGATAGCCATTTAGGTGCTGGGGGAATATCTTGACTTTGCATGGTCATGTGCAAGTACTTTTGCATGACAAATTTGCTCCATCAAAAAAGGGTAGCACCATAGCAAACAACAGTGAAAGGATCAGTACAATCAACAAAGGAGGCAGAGTCAAATCTTATCACAAATTATCGTAGTGGTCATTGTGGTACAAAGATAGTTGACAAAAATTTCCATCTTAGCCGTTTCTAAGTATACAGCCATTCATGAAAACTACGATCACATTGTTGTGTGCTCAAAGCCCCAGACTTCCTTTTCCTGAAAAACTGAAATTTCATGCCATTTATAAATTGTATGATACATATATAGGGAATGGTATTCTTAATTTATATTCCTTCTCTCATTCTACAGAAAAAGAACTGATCTTATATTTTTTATCTTCCTTGCTCCTAGATTCCCAATTAAACTTCTATAATGGTTAATTTAATGTTATTGAAGATTCTTTCATAAAACAATGGCAATGGTATTACATACACATATGTAAGTTATTTAATCATTTCTTAAATTGAGTCCAGGTTGTTTTCCCTGGTTATTTTTACAAGTTACAGCCATAAATATTGACATTACACATCTTAATTACTTTTCTCTGTATAGTTTCATGCTAATCTCTTATGAAGCCAAAATCTATCAACATTTTTACATCCCTTGATGCAATATGTTATATTTTTTCTTTCTCTTATTGTGGGGAGCAACTCGGACTATAATGTTACTGGAATTAAGACTTATTCTATGCATCTGCTCTCCCACAATGTGGCGCTGGGAGAGGAGCGTACAGCTTCTACCCAGCTGCCTCTCACCAACTTGACAAGCTGCAAGAGCCGCTCCTGATTGGAGGAGAGCGGCGCGCTCGGCGTGTGGGTAGCAGAGCACGGATTGGTGGAGAGGACTATATAGGAGGAGAGAGACGGCATGGTGGCGTGGGTTGGTTGGAGAGTGCGTTGGAGAGTTCGCGGGGAAGTTCGTTACTTCGTTCTTTCTCATTTCTCTCTACTCATTCTTGCTTTGGGAGTTTGCTGTTTACTTATTCTTACTTTACTATAGAAAGGACTTGTAAAAAAAAAGGGAACAACAAGCGTCCGGTCCGGTGCGGCTCCTCCGCGT